GGGGGGCTAATTGAGTTTCTTCCGTCACAACGGATAACAAAAAAGCATCTAATTCTTCAGTTTTGTTTTGTTTTGTTTTCTGCTGAAAGGGGGGATTCAGCCTCCCTTTGCTCCCCCCTGGATCCGCCCTTGATCCTGAATTAAAGATTCCATTCTGGCTGTAATTATAATCTCGGTATCAAGATAATCAATAATAGTTGAATATATTTATTTTAATATTCAAAAGAATGATTAAATAACAATCATAAATTTCGCTTTCTGATTGTAATTGTTTGAGTTGCATGCTTTTGATTTCTTCAAAAACATTTGAAAAAATTTCGTGTGTACACTTTGTCAAAATGCCGGCAACTTTTTAAATTTTATACGGATTTAATTTTTTTTTGTAATAAAAACTGTATATGTTTGTAAAAGTAAAACGTAAGATGGAAGCCCTTTTTTTGGTTTGGCGTTTCGGGGGCCAAACGAAATGGCAGATTTTTCTCATAGCGAGAAATCGCCGATATTGGGACCAAGGAAATTGAATGCGCAAGTTATTTACGAAATTCGCCGATTCGTAGACTACGAAACATTATACGGAGATATTGCTGCAAATAAAAGTGAGTTACTGCAGTAAGCTAAGTTTCTAAACGATTTAAAGTAATTCTATTTTTGTAGAAAAACTTGAAGCGATATGGTGCTTCTTAAAAATTGCTCATGATTACATACTGCCGCTCACGCATTGAATGAAGAATTATAAAATAACTGTTATGAATGTCGCGTTCTGATTGGTTTGGAGCGCGTGCTTTATGAGAGCACATTGCACGCGCGCACAATTTCCGTTGCTTCATTCCTATCTATTATTGTAATTTGTATTTTATAAAAGAAATAAAAAACTTGCTTGCTGTGCTGTGTGCAGTCATAAAGTACTTGGGGATTGGCAGAACACTCGAAAACTCGCGCGCGTTTTCTATTTCTTCAATAGAAAACGCGCGCGTGCTGTGTGCAGTTATAAAGCACGTGGGGATTGGCAAAGCACGCGGAGTGCTTCTCGACACTTCTCGAGTGTTCTGCCAATCCCCAAGTGCTTTATAACTCCACACAGCACAGCAAGCAAGTTTTTTATTTCTCTTACAAAATGCAAAGGGCGCGTGCTTGCTGTGTGCTCTCCGTAAAGCACGCGCTCCCAACCATTCAGAATTCGAGATTTATAACGTTTTATATATAGTTTATATAGTTGTTTTATAATGCTCAATAGTTTTTAAGTTTTTATCTTGGAATAATACAGCGCTCTTTTTCCTTGAAAAGGCAAGATGATCATGATCTGTGAACAAAAAGGAGTGGAGGGCTGGGTATTTATTTGTGCGCGGGGACTGGAAAATGCTGGCCCCTTTGGGTAGACATGCAGTAGTCGCAGTAGACGATATGAACGGAAAACGTAGCAATATATAGAAAGAAATACCGAGAATCAAAACCAGGTTGAGTAATAAAACCTCTTATCAGTAAAAACTGTTCCCAGGAGGCATTTCCGGTGTGTTCTTTTTGAGGCTATTGTTATGCTGATTTACCTGTAACAGTGGCCCAGTGGAAAAAAACGTGGGCTTCCATATCATGACACTGATTCAAGTCCGGTTGAGCGAAGTTAGTACCTGGATGGGTGACCTGAAACTCATGCCTACTAAAATAATTTTTGAAGGTTGTTTCTTCTTAATTTTCAATCGATTACGATCCGTTTTAGTTGAGAAATCGTCAGAAATTAAAAACTGCCGGGCTTTCAATCCGTTCCCGTCAGTCCTTAATGAGAAACTCTTCTCAGTCTACGCCACGAAGAGCTGGAAGAGAGTCGTAAAGCTTTTCTAGACCCGACCTCAGTCCCACTCGGCAAACTTATCTTTTAACATGCAGCAACTCGTTTCTTATTTGCATCAACTTGATTTTTTTATTTGCAGCAGTCCGTTTAAAATGCAGCAGCTCGTCTTAAATGTAGCAACCTGTTTTTAATTTTTAGCAACTCATCAACGGGGCCACCGTAGTAAACCTATATTCCCCCTCCCCCTCCCCACCTCTTCCATCCTCTTGGTTCTAGGATTCCATGGGCTCCCTGTGGTATTCTTTCACGTGTTTGCCCCTCTTCCATCCTCTTGGTTCTAGGATTCCATGGGCTCCCTGTGGTATTCTTTCACGTGTTTGCCCCGGTTCGAGAAGAAGAGGTTTCAAGATGGTTCGTGGTGGACCTGCAGATCGTACCGTTCGTAGAGCCAAAATATTCGCCCTTGCAAAGGTATGAAACACTTATTCGATTCATATACATTATATATAATCCGTTTTTGCTGCCCTTTACGTCAACAAGGTTTTTTGTTGGGTAAAATTCAACCGTAGAATCTCGAAATCACCAATCCACCATTTAGTCTTAAACTGAAGAATGAGATGCATTGAAATATTTCAATTCTTTAAATTAACTTAAGGTCAAGTTTAATACTATTTTTAAGAAATTGAAATCGTTAGTTTTATACTTCTTTTTCATATTTTTGAACTGTGCTTTACCACATACGTTACACAGGTAGCCCATAAGAAAATTTATAGATCCCTGAAACTGGACTGATGTAAGTCAGGGCTAACTCACAGATTGAACCCTGACACAATCTATCGACTGATCTAAGTCAGGGCATGGCTAGCTCACAGATTGAACCATGGAACAATCTATGGACTGATCCAAGTCGGGGCATGGCTAACTCACAGATTGAACACTGAAACAATCTATGGGCTGATCTAAGTCAGGGCATGGCTTACTCACAGATTGAACCCTGAAACAATCTATGGACTGATCTAAGTCAGGGCTAACTCACAGATTGAACCCTGAAACAATCTATGGACTGATCTAAGTCAGGGCNGATTGAACCCTGAAACAATCTATGGACTGATCTAAGTCAGGGCTAACTCACAGATTGAACCCTGAAACAATCTATGGACTGATCTAAGTCAGGGCATGGCTTACGAATTGAACTCTCACAAATTGAACCCCCCAAACAACAACTTCTGGGTTGATTCTAAGTCAGGGCATGGCTAGCTAACTGATTGAACCCTGAAATAACCTCTTAGCTGATGTAAGTCAGGGCATGGCTCACTCACAAATTAAACCCTGACACAAACTTTGGGCTGATCTAAGTCAGGACTCACAGAAAAACAAACGATGGCAAATGTGATTCTAAAAATAGCATCAAACAATGCCTATGATGGTTACAAGCATGAATACCAGAGATTCCTTCTCTTAGTTCATCTTCTCTTGGCCAGAGTCAATAGCCCATGAAGCTGAAGGCTGAAAGTCACATTTAATGCTGGCACTTTTTGCTACTAGAAGGAATATAACTTATAGTCTAGTAGTAGCTCATCCAATCAGAACACAGCATTGATGATAGACCACTAGTTGGATTTGACTAAAATGCAATAGTTCAAGTAAGAGAGTTTATGATTGCAGGGTTTTAGAGGCCGTTCCAAGAACTGCTATAGCTTGGCAGTGCGAAGAGTCCAGAAGGCACTTCAGTACCAGTATGTCAGTAGACACTTGAAGAAGAGGGACATGAGATCTGTAAGTAAGGCCAAACAAGAAAATAAGTGTTTTTCCTGTTGCACAACCGACCCTAATTTTTTTGCTGATTTTTGCCGACCCTGATATTTTTTCATTCCCAAATGCACCACAGGGTTCCCAGTAAGGTCATTTACACTGTTGTATCAGTAAAAAATCCGACCTACCAACCCTAATGATTTTTCTCATGCAACAGGAAACACACTTATTTTTTTGTTTGGCCTAAAGCATAATTTAAAAGAGAATGCAGAACCAGGTGCAGGGGCAGATCTAAAGGAGGTGTGCAAGGGGAGTGCACACCCCTCTCCTAGATAAGCTGAAATCTACTACATTATTGGTGTTTGAGTTTGTAAGCAAAGCGTACAACCCCTCCTAAAACAAAAGTCCTGGAAGGTGCACCCCCCTCCTCCTGCTGAAAAAATCCTGCATCCACCCCTGAGGAAATAAAACTCCTAGTCTGTAATGGCATCATGTATGGTTTGCTGTTCATCTGGTTAATAGCGTTGAACATGTGAGCACACTATACTATTATGGTGGGGAATCATGAGTCAAACAACTACTGGAACTGTGAGAACTGAAAAATATTTCTGGAAGGTTTCTGGTCATGATGTCTCGTGACCATGGTGTTCCAAACCATGATGCCTGTAGTATTTACCATGACCCCTGGAATGTTTATGGTGCTCTGACCAATCATGGGTGAGAATGAATTAAGATATTACCATCACGTCTAGTCAATTGCCCAATTTCCATGACAATGTACTGTCTCAAATTACCATGTCCTCAATTTACAATATTCCTTTTTACTTTTATATCAGCTCTGGCAGACCCGTATAAATATAGCTGGCAGGGAACATAACATTAATTACTCTTCATTCATGTACCAAATGGCTAGGGTAAGTTTGTGCCATGTTAGAAACATTATTCTAGGATAGTTAAGAAATAATTAGATACGTCATACTGTTGCTAGATTGGTTAGACCATTATTTTATAGACCATATTTTGATAATGGCCACTTCCAGAATCAAGAGAGCGTGTTTCTTTTTTTTTTTGTGAGGTGAGAAATTTAACCACTTTAAAGCCCCATTTACACTAGCAATTTTTGCGGCAATTTTTTTGCGATTTTGTCCATAATAAATAATGGTAAAGAATTGACTCGTAAAGTTTTTTTAAGGATACCAAGATTTTCTTAGACGAATGTCTCTTTTGAAGGATGAGACAAAAGATTTCAGATTTCCGAAAATTGCCACAAAAATCTCCGCAAAAATCGCCACAAAAATCGCCGGTGTAAAAGGGGCTTTAGCATTCTTAGAATTCCTTCGTTCTTTCACTTGAGTCTTTTCCCTGTAGGGGAGTAGCTGTACATAGACTAGCTAGTGACTACCTTTCTCTAAGGTTTGTATATTGCATAACGAAAAGAATCTGAATTCACTATTTAGTGTGAAGCAGAGTTCTTAGAATTCCTTCGTTCTTTCACTTGAGTCTTTTCCCTGTAGGGGAGTAGCTGTACATAGACTAGCTAGTGACTACCTTTCTCTAAGGTTTGTATATTGCATAACGAAAAGAATCTGAATTCACTATTTAGTGTGAAGCAGAGTTGATTAAAGGGCACTATACAGTAATGTGTATAAATATTGTAAATCATGACCATTATCATGATTAATTGTTCTTATTTTCATTCAACTTTAACATGGGTTTTTTGTCAAACTCACGTTCAATTCAAAACTTTTAGCATAACATGAAATTATACTTCTAGAAAACTGGTTAGTAATATGTAATATATTTGTATCTGTTCTGTATGGGTTTTTGATACAACAGCTCAACTCCAACTAAGCAGCAGTTAGGCGGAGTCGCGAATTGCCGGCATTGCCAAAAATCGCAAGTCGAAAAACACCATGGGGGGGTGGGTTTTTAGAGGTCGGTAACCCGCCCTACAGGGGGTCTTGCGCGATCCGCCTGCAGCGCGAAATGTGCCTAACTGCTGCTCTGTTGGGGTCGCAAACAGAGGGAAAGATATCCTTTAGATATACATGGCATCCGTCGACAACATTCAAAACGAAACTGTGCGCATGCTGGGAAATCAGGTGATGGATAACTCAGATGCGGATTTTGTCTTTGCGACATTCATGGAGGGAAAGACAGACAAGACGATGAATCACGAGATGGCTGAAAAGATAATCGACAGAATGCCGGACGGCGACTACCGTTTGGAGTTGACGTTCGTGAAGTATTTGGACGGCGAGTGGGTGATAGAAAAGGGCCGTAATCCCATCAGGGCGTCTGGTAAGCAGAGTTTGTTCGTTTTGAATAAGCAAACGAGGCCGGGGGCATTGGAGGGAATCGACATGCTCTTCTACGAGGTTGCTTACCCGGTTACCGTTGTCATTTACGGCGCGTACGAGATTGAGGAGCCGGATGTCGAGAAGTTGCGACCAATGCGACATCCGGGCAATTGCGTCGGGAAATTGGTCAGAGAGTTCTTTGAAGACGCTGCTCGTGGTGGTAAGCTTACGCCCAAAAGGAGAGAAGCCATAAGGAAATGGGAATGTGACACGCATAGGATTGGAGGTACTATTAAAAACATCCAGAAGTTGGAGACGGCTTTAGAACGCCGCATACACGTGAAGGATATCACGGACGGCTACATCTACGAAGGAACAAAAAAATACGGAGGTAGAGGTGCCCCTATCGTCATCTACCAACATAATGGGCACGCTTGGCGAGAACTTGGGTTCCCTAAGAAGAAGGAAACTAAGGTTTATAAAATGTCGCCATTGGCAGAATTAGTTCACGAGAATTCTGTTTGGTTGATGGATGCGGAAGGAAGTCAGTTTATGACGCAGGATGGTACTCTCTACCGCCCTGAAGTAGAGCATCAACGTATTCAAAGTGCGTGTGCGACATTAGGGGAAGACTTTTCAGACGAGGTCTTAAGCAGCCGTAGTTTGGACTTCCTAGCTGCGAAGAAAAGGAATGGATGGAAGTCCACGCCTAAGGAATTTGGAGACATAGCCAAAGCCTGCGTAGAGCACGGCCATGGAGGTCTGTGGAATATGGAATATGACGAGAACGAATACGTCTCCTTAGACATGAAACATTGCTACCCTGCCAGTTTTAAAGGCCTTGGGGATTGTAAGGAGTATTACGACCGCTACGGGCATCCAGACTCACAATTCTTTCGTGTGTCTTTGCCAGGTAAATATGACGCTCCCAAGTCTACGGGGTTCGTGCGGTTGACCACGTGGAAGTTAGCAAAGGGCTTACATCCAATAATTTACGCGTGGTATGGGAAACATCTGCAGGAGAAAGAATGGAT